TTTGTTTAAATAAAGCACAGGAGGAAATGGGGCGGTGGGGGCGGGTAAAAAACACCCCACTAAGGAGACAGGGAAATGTGTGCGGGTAACTCGTCTGCTCGGGAGGCTCCTGTGCAAACCCCAGCGCGGCCTCAGTACTGGATTCCCTACAAAAGGAAATCGGCCTCAGGCGGCTCACTGCACAGCACCCAAGTCAGGAGGACTTGCCCTAAACTGACCTAGAGTAAAAACTCTTTTCTATTTTAATAATTTTCTACAGGACACAATCAACTGACAGCTGACCCCAATTCACTAAGCACCCACCACACCGACCCACACCTGTGTAGGTTCCAGCCAGCTCTCTCCACTCAGGAGAATGTACTTTGTTAACTCTGACCCTCACTCCTTCATTTCCTCTACGGACCTACTGAGAACATCACCTACTATAAAGTACTGGCGTATGTACAAAAACACTCTGCCAGCATAAGGCAAAACTCAGCCATATACCACCGTGTGACCTGCTTCTAACAGGCGGGGAAGTACGATTAAAACTGATCGGTTGTAAAACAATTTTTGTACACCTTTCTGCTAACAAAGCAGTTTTTTTAAAAAAGTTAAAGTATCCATTGTTAAAAAGGAAATATAACTTCCTGATACTAAAAAAAACAACAAAAAAAAGGGAGGAGTATTTATTTCACACAACCCCAAAGAGAAACCAAACCTAGGGTGCAAATAACAGCACAGCCCGAGCCGGGTCTGCCACTGCTCCGGGCCCCCGCCCCGGGCCTGCACCCTCCCCAGGCCTGCACCTGCCATGCTTAGTCTCCTCTCTCCCCGCACAGCACACTTTCTGCACATAATGAGCTTCCAGGTTCCTAAGGAAGACTTGCTTGTCAGACTAAAAGCCAATGTATGATAAAATTATATACTAGGTCTTCGTGGTCACCTAAAGGCTCCAAGTAAGGCAGTTTTTAAGTAAAACGACACAAGAGGAGCCTTGAAGACTTCGAGCTTCTTTTCTAAAAGGTGAGATGATCACGATACCACCTGGTAACAAGTTCTTCATATCATAAAAGACATGTTGACTCTCTTGTCAGAAACCTGAAACTTGTCTAGTAACTTTTAACGTGTCAGGAAGTAGAAGTACATACTTGCATGGCAGAATTCTGATAACATCCTTGACTTTAAAATTTTCAATACAGACTGCACAATTTTCAGCATCAACATCAATTCCCTGAAAAAAGAAGAGGAAAGAGTTTACTATATATCCTAAGTACACGGTGTAGTTTTGGTAAAACTCACTACCACCTGGGTAAGACAGTTCTATTCGACCACACTGCTACATCCTGAAATTAAATACATATAATTTCTACCTGGTGTTTACTTTTACCACTATCAAGAGATTTTTTTTTTAAAGAATGTGGCTGAAAAGGAAAAAATATCATTTTCTACCTAATCAGACATAAATAATATTTAAATACTAGGCTACTATTCATTTTTTTTAAAGTGGTCATATTTTAAAGGCTATAGAAATGTCAGTGCCTGCTTTATTATAATAAAATAAATTATTTTTCAAATATAAAGCTTATAAAGAGAATAAATGTCTAATTAGCTACTTGTTTTCTGGAATCATCAAAAAACAAAAAAACCAAAGTACTTTCATTAGAATTTGCTAAGAAAATAGTTATAACTTGCAAATAAGAAAGTGCAAACCATTAAATAACTGAAAATACTCACCTCACTAGGGATAAAAGCATTACAAATTAAACAAGCTACTTCGTTTCATATATCAAATTAACAAACGTAAAAATAGACAAAAATTGCTGGGGAAGAAGCAATCTTTGTGACAAAATTTCAACTTCTATCAATCTGTGGGTCACAGACCTTTTTGGGGGTGTCAGCCTCCCCCACTTCGCCGGGTACCCCCCAGGATCTGCCCACCTGGCTTCAACCCATCAACCAAAGTAGGCATGGGCAGCCAGTGACCCCAGGCAGGCCAATGAGACTCTCCCCCAGGATTCCGGGGTGGGGGTTCAGGAACTGCCCACCAGTGTCTGCAACTTCAGCAAATTAACTTTACAGAACACAGCTACACAATCATCTCCGTAACTATCTCAAAATATATTTAGCCACCTGCGTCACTTGTTAACAAGCAGTAAAAACTGATTTTATACGTAGATACAGCTCCCCAAAACTGTACTGAAATTAACTTTATAAGAGCACTTAAAAAGGTATGTGGCAACGAAAGTCAACATTGTCACCTTTTTCCCATGAGCCATGTGAGAACGATGAAATGATTTTTACCTCCCTAATGGTTTGCAACCTTATACACTACTGTGATCCAGTCCATGAGAAGAAAAATCAGGAAACAGTTTCCAGAAGTGGACAAGATGTAGATTTACAGAAAAAAACAAAACACAGTATTTTTCTGTACAAGTTTAAAATGTAAAATGCCAGAAAACTCCCATATGTCCCTCACGGACCATTTCTGGATCCTTGTTTTTTAACTGTTAGTGTGACAACTTTTAAAGAGCAGTTCATAGAAGCAAATTTTCAAAAACTGTTCTGTACATGAAGAGGACGACATCCAAAGACCCCACTCCGCACACTGCACACAGGAACCCACGTCTTCTCACGTTCAAGGACTGAGATTTCCCCACCACGGACAGCAGGAGACACGTTCCCGGGAGGACGTGAAACTCCACGCTTGTTCAGGGACCGCTGTGCCGAGCGCACACTTGCCCCAGGCGTCTGCCGGAGACTCTCTCCCCGGGGACCCTCGGGATTTGTACATCAGCTGTTCATCTTCCCGTGAGATGGAATTTTTTTTTTTAACTTTTCCTGTTCAGTACACCCGCATGGAAAGAAACCAGGACCCTGTACCAACTGTTAAAATTCACGCTATTACAGTGCAAAGGGATCCAGGAAGGACTGCAACAAACCTGAGTCTCTGGATATTAAACACATCACATAAACTGTTAACACCAGATTCCAGAGTTTTGACATCAAAGGTCTAAAAATTTAATGACAACTAGTTTGATTTGACCCTTTAAGTGGGTCAGAGGAGGGGCTGCGCACCTACGTGCACTTCAGGGGGAGTGGAGACTAGAGGGCGGCGCATCACATCTCAGCAACTCAGCAACACAAAGTGAAAACCCAAACAACTGAACCCTCTCATAACTGCGGCAACACAGCCATCAACCCCTCACAGCACAGAAGGCGGGCCACTGAACGAATAACTATTTCTGTATTAGCAACTGCTCTCCTTTTAAGGAATCTACCCTCTAAGAACCTGAGGCTCTGAGATTTAGGATCTGTCCTACTCCAAAAATGCTTCCAAACTCTGGTATGATTTTGGCCTTTTAAGTCTCAGGCTGGCCATGCAAAATGTTTCTGTTTTAAAAACATCTTTTCTTCCTTTCCCCACAAACCCTGGAATTTTCTCCCTGTAATTAAGGGAGTTAGACAGAATGCACAGAGGGTGTGAGATTTAATGGAGATGAATTTAAGCCTCAGGGTCTCTAGGGGAGACCGTAACTTCCTCAGAGTCCCTGGGTCCAACCGACGGGTGGCAGATGGACATCTGGCACCGTCCAGTCCAGCAGCAAGCAGCTAATGTGGCCACCCGAGCATCTGCCAGGTAGCTAGTGTGATGGAGGAACTGAATTTTAAGTTCAATTTAATTCACACAAATTCAGGAAGCCGTGTGTAGCCAGC